CGCGTAAGGTAGCGTTCCCGAGCGCGTCTTCTGCTGTGCGGCCTCGTACATGGCAGCAGCCTGCGTCCACATGCCGTTCTGCTCGAACGAGACAGCGATGTTGGTGTCGTTGTGGAGCGAGCGGCGACGCCACAGACCGTAGAACAGGTCCTCCTCGGCCAACTCCGCGTACAGCTCTGCCAGCGAGTCCGGGATGGTGTCCCGGATGGACGGGTCCTCCTCGAGCACAAGGTCCATTGTCTGGAGAAGCTCCATTCCCGCATGCCATGCGCCGAACGTCTTCGCCAGGAACTTGATGAGGTGAGGCGGCAGGACGAGAGCGGGTGTACAGAGGTTGATAGACGTCAGCAGGGTTTGAATAACATTTGGGCGCTTCTCCGCCTGGCGTGCATGGTACTCCCGACTGAGAAGGGAGATAAGATGGTGTGTGACGTCAACCTGATCGCGCCGTGAGAGCGACTTCCACGCCGCCGGAAAGGCCGACATCCAAACATCATGCGCGACGTTCGGGTCGATGATGAGCATGCGCTTAAGAGGTAGCACGATGTCGCCGACGCGGCGCGCCGGGAGTACAGCACCTGCAGGCATAGAAGAAGATGGTTTGCGCGATGCTAACTGAACGGCGTCTAGGTCTACAGCTCCGAGGAGGAGGTGCAACGCGACGGGAATCCAATAGTGATCCGCCAGCGGCTCCCAGCTCTGCACGCCGATGATGTACACAAGTCGGCTGGCGAGCGTGCGCGGTACACTGGCGTCGAGCAGGTCGACGAACTTCTCGCGGAGCACAATGTCGCGTGCGCGGCAACCCAGGAGGAACGACTGTTCCAGCTTCACTGTTAGATCGCTGCGGCGGAGAGACGGCTCGATGTATATGTCGTAGATCAGCTCGAGGTACGAGTTGAAGAACATCTCTCCGCGAGTTTCGAGCGTCGCCATGCGCTGCAAGAATGTCGCCTTGTCTTTCGTGGGCGGGTACGGCTCGTTCTTCTGAAACGCCCATGTGCGGCCTAGAGCAAGCAGGTACTTGCACATCGTCGGACTCTGGGACTTCTCGACAAGCATTGTGAGTGCACTCGTCAAGAAGCGGCGGTTATCGGGCGGCAGGTGGATGGCGCCGACGAGGCAGATGTCCAGCGCGGAGATGAGCAGCTTGACACTTTGCTCAAAGCTAGCCGACAGCGGTGGCGTTGCACTGCAATGCTCCTTGCTCAGTTTTCCGAGCAGCTTGAACAGCGCCGAACCGAAGCCCTCAATGCGCTCGGGCGTCACGCTAATCACCGACTGAAGCATGAGCAAAATAGAGCGAACTGTCGTGGCGTTCTGAAGACCATCCGAGATCGACGTGTTCACCCAGTGGTGGAAGTCGGATAGCAATGGGTGCTGCTCTTCGTCCTCTTTGGGCAACGGGAAGAGCTGCACGAGACGGTCGAAGATCGGATGGAGGGCGTCTTGAAAGGCGACGTCGTCGGTGAGCAGCCCCTTGCGGACGAGCTTTGACAAGACTACGGCGTTGTCGGGATCTTGATACCACAGATCGGTCTTATCAATCGTGACAACCTGCAGAACCTTGGCGAAGAGCAGCGCGGCAGCGAAGTTATCCGGGCTCAAAGTCGTAAGATCAGCCTAGAAAGTATGCAGTGTTAATATACGATGATTGCCTGAGAGCATATGCACTGACCTGTTCAAGCATCCTACCAAAGAAGTGCAACTTGACAGTGACATCCTTCCACCCGTTTGTTCCGACGATCTGCTTCAACAGCGCCAACGCGCGGCCGATGATGGAGGTGCGCGATGAGCTATCGTGCTGCACCGTGGTGAGCCGCACGAGGTAGCTGACAACATTCTCGCGGAACGGAAGTGGTGTGCGCCAGAAGATGGCCAACTCTTGCTCAACCGCCTTCAGCTCGTCCTCCTTCTCCTTCCTCTCAGCTCCCTTCAACTCCGTGCCCTTCTTCGCCAACTCCGCCTTCAATCCCATGACCTTCTTCTCCAGCTCCGGCTTCTGCTCCGCGGCCTTCTGCTCCCAGTCGACGATGGTCTGCATCAGCTCGATCGACAGATGTCGCGTCTCGGCAGACGCCGAGCCGTGCATTCCGAGCTTGTGCAACGAGTTGACCATATGTGGGATAAACAGCGCGCGCACAGGATAGAAGAGGTCCGCTTGCTGGACGACGACCTACAGTATGGAGAGTCAGCGTGAAGCATGGCGAATACAGACAGGAACACGAACCTGGTAGACGATGATCAACTGCGACTGACCATGGCTCTCCTCGGCGAGCAACCTCCTCGTCGTCTTCGCCCACACCGGGAAGCCGTCCTCAGCCGACTTA